GCCCAGGGCAGCGGCCCCGATCCCAGCTCCCGCGGATCCCGGATCCCGTGGAGCAGGACGCGGCCCGGCCCGGTCCGGTGGATCCTCCGCGGAGAGCCCCCCGCGCCGCGCAGGCCCCGCGGCCCGGCCTCGCCGTCGCCTCGCGCTCCTTCCCACTTTGGGGCTGTCCCCGCGTAGAGGCCGCGCTCTCCGTTTACCTTCATGTGCTTTCTGAGGGAGCTGGGGTGCGTGTAGGACTTGTCGCACATTTTGCAGAGATAGGGCTTGTCGGAAGTGTGCACATGCATGTGCTTTTTGCGGTCGCTGCTGTTTGCAAAGCGCCTGTCGCAACCCTCGAATTCACACTTAAATGGTTTTTCACCTATTGCGGAGCGAAAGGAAGGGAAAGGATCGGGTTAAGCAGGGCCGTCTGAACCCCTCGTTGTCCCCAACGCGCTGCCGGATGGAAGCCCCGCGCTGCATTGTAAACACTCGCAACTTTCTAAGTTGAAAGAGACTCAGCCCCTACAAATATTCCTCCTCTCTCTTTCTCGCACCTCTAACCTTACTCAACGCCTGTTCTGTGAGGGGGGCTGCTAAAAAAATGGTGGGTTTTATTTTTTTTTAATTTTTTTTTTTGAGGGACGAGTTACATTTGCAGCCCCGACCCTGGTCGCGTCTCCCTTTTCGCGGGGCTCGAAACGGCAGAGCAGGCATGCTGCTATTTACATGCGATCCTCAGTGTCTACTTTCTGTTTTTATAGCCCATTCTCGTGATATTTTGCCCTCCCACACACCTCGGCCCCCTCTCCCATATTTTCATGCAATATTGGAAATTATTCGCCCGGGGAATCCAAGGCAAGAGCAGCTCTAAGCCCGCCGCGAAAGCGCCCCGGGAAGCGGCGCTGACGGGGTGGCCGTGGCGGGAGCGGCTCCCCCAGGCCGGGGCTTTCCCCACAGCCCCCGCCGACAAAAGAAACTTCTCCGGGATCCCAACGCTCGCCTCCCTCTCGCACCGCAGCCCCGCACCGGCGCGCCAGGCTCGGCTGCTTTAACCCTCGGCTCCGCGGAATTAAATATTTAGCACTCCCTGAACGGCGAAGCGGAGACAGATGAGCTGCCCGGAATATTTAGCACAATTTCTCATCACGCCACATTCAAAACCGCCCAAGACCAATTAATTAAAACCTATAAATTTAACAGGACAGGTTGCTGCGATTTTTTTTCTCCCCCTTCTCTCTCCATCCCAGCAGCAAATTCTGCCTTTCTCCCCACCACACACCCCAGCCACATCAGAGCGAATTTTCTTTTTGTTGCTACCGCCGGCGTGTCTGTGCCCAAGATTATTTTTCGGTGGAGCTCCAAGCCTGCCCCTAAGGGAAATCCCGTCGCCATGGACCATTCCTCGCCGGCCCCGACCCACACAGAGCAGCCACAGGCCCGCGACATTAAAAACAAAACAAAGCAAAACAGTATGCTGAGTAATACAGAGAGAGAGTAAAGAGCTTTACATACTGACCTGTATGAGTTCTTTTGTGTATTTTGAGATTCTCTGATCTGGCAAACACTTTGCCACAGCCTGGGAAGGGGCAGGGGAAAGGCTTTTCACCTGTGTGGACTCTGATGTGATTTACAAGTTTATATTTGGCCTTGAAAGGCTTCCCTTCTCTCGGACACTCTTCCCAGAAACATATGTGATTGGACTGCTCGGGTCCTCCAACGTGCTCCACCGTGACATGAGTCACCAGCTCGTGCATCGTGCTGAAAGTTTTGTTGCAGGACTTTTTGGGGTTTGACAATTGCTCGGGCTCAATCCACTTACAGATGAGTTCCTGTTTGATGGGCTGCCTCATGTAACGGAAGAAGGCCCCTGCCCCATGGTGCGCTGCCATGTTCATGTTCATGTGGCCGTAGCCGTGCAGCTGGGTGGACGCGTAGTGCTCGGAGCGGGGGCTTGTGACCTGGCCGTACTGGTCGGGTCTGCCGTACATGTCTCCGG